GTAGTAGTCAACTTAATTAGTTCCCGGCAATTTTTGCGTTCCCTGCATTTAAGCATAGCGAGAGGAACGGAATTAAAGTAATTAGCTATTATCTAATTAGCGGGGTTGGAGGAAGGGGAGGTGAGTCTCCAATTAACAAATTGCTGTGAGAAAGGGAAGACTGCAAATGGAATATCGAGAGCGGAAGGCGAAGTGAAAAGGGAACTAACCAACCAACACTCAGTGAGAGAGAAAGAGAGAAATTAAAAAGGATTTCGTTTCGTTTATGTCGCAAAGGACGAAAAAGGTCTAAAAAATAATTATATAAAAAAACGGTAACAAAAATGGAGTATTCTTATTTGAAGTTGTATTTAAAGATAATTAATTTTATATAAGTTTCTAATATTAAAGAACTTTTGGTCCAAATTTTAAGTAATAAAAGTAATTGAAAAAAACAATCAATTATAGATTAAAATTTGAAAGTATTTTACTGAAACTCAAAGTTTTGTATTATCTAATTATAGTTGATGGAATATACGCAATGAAATGAATATTTCAACTAAATTTATAAATTTAGTTAATTGAATTAATTTGTAGCGTATTTAATTTTTAAATGTATATCGGAGGATATAAATAAAGGACTTTGTAATTTAGATATATAGAGAAATGTGATATTACAGAAATCTAACATGTTCCTTCTTTTTCTTATTACGTTATCCTGGTGTCCGCTGGGATTGGGGTGGAGGGTTGGTGGATGTTTTCCAGTTGTGGGACAGACAATAAGTTGCGGGAAAAGGGAATGAAGTAAGGGTTTCGTTTTACTGTGGCGGTGTGTGGTGTGCGACACAACACGGGCGGAATGGGCGGATATGGGGTAGACGCAGCCACCCCCGCCGTGTACTGCTGAAACACAGACGTGAGATCGTGAAATATTAAAGCGTGAGAGCACTACTGGATATAATGCCTTTTGTGGTTTGCGTGAAGTAAACCGCCTCCTCCTCCTCTCCATCCACCGCCACTCCACCACAACCGCAAAACCCCATGTGTGAGAAAACAACTGTAACCACACCATTACCGGGGAAATTTTTATAAATTGCACCGTTTACGAACTGCTTCCGGGGAATGCCACCATCTTCTTCTTCGGCCAACTGAACAATAACTTTTTACTACCAACTTGGCCAACTTCCGTCGGGGACCGTCGTTAATTGATGCAGTTGTCGCGCGGATACTGGGGGGGCGGCGGCGTTGCACAACGAAAACTTCTCCACGAAAACTCAATTACATCCCTCCTCACACATGGAACTAATTAGCGAACGGGGGGGTCTACTATCCATTTACCATTCACACATCAGAATCCTTCGTCGGCTTCCTCGCATTGCGAAGAGGGGTGGTGTAGTGTGCCTCCGCACAATGGATGCCGCCCTCGACAATCTCAGATTAACTATATTCCGGTTCTCCATGCATCCAGTTTTCAAGCTGAAACCCTTCACATCCACAAATACGCACATACACTCACAAATTCACATATACCAGTATAGAAAACAGAGAGCTCACGTCGCGTAGGTGTGTACATGCAGACAATATAGTCGTACCGTTAAATTCACGGATGTTATTAATGTTTCCGCCTTTATCTGCGCCACCCCCCAGAAACCCTCCACCGCCCCTTTAAAGCATTGTCTTTCAAACTTTTGTTCCGTGCTTAAACTTAAACACCGGGCATTATTTATAGTCCACGGCGATCGCTATCCGTCTACATACTAAATAGACTTTACTTTCAAGCGTTTTATCTCAGGATATTTTTCAAGTGCTCCCAGCGTTTGCTCGCTTTTTATTTTTGGAGCCAGGACGAATTTAATTACGCCATCGTCCTTTGAAGAAGGCAAACATACGTGTAAAAGTCCACCCGAACGAGGAAATAAAAAGGGTTGAAAATTTCTACAAAATAAATAGAAACGCAAATATAAAACATAATAGAATCTGAGGTTGTTGCTTGTCTAATTACTACATGTGTACTCATTCACAGAGAGCAACAGTCTTTAATTGCGTTTAGTCAATGTTTGAGACTCTTCTTTTGCTCCATTTGGAAGCGTAGGTGTTGTACCCAAAAGCATCACGACGAGACTTGTATCATCATCATTTGCGCTGATTACGAAAGTAAATAAAAATACGTTGCGACGTGTAATTAAAAATTCTCTACACAAGGAATATATGTGTTTGCAAAAGAAATTTCATGTTTTTTTTTTATATTTTTCATTAATTTGTACAGTTGTAATGCATCTCATTAAACCAGCACGAAATTCATACAGTATAATTAGAAACGAAATATTACAACATATTAATTTAGAAAAATATTTGAATTTAATTCAAATCAACAAAAAAAATTGTATATTTTATATTTTAATAAGAATTGTTACCATGTAGAAATTACACTAATCTGAACTTTAATTAAAATATAATTAATTGGAAAAGTTCTAATGTTTTTTCTAAATTCAATTGTATTTCATATAAATGTGAGATATACATCTTCCTTGGTGAAATATTAGTTCTAAGTTGTTACGTGAAAGTGCAACGTCCGCATTGAAAGTATGCATCATTTAGCAACTGGAGATGATTGTTGACGCTTCCGCCCTTCCAATTTGAAACGAAAAACTAAATAATTCGAAATTTCTCGAGTAATCTTCCCATTCGCAAAACTTACGTAATGATTTCCGGCTAAATTAAGTGCTTTTCGTTAGGTCAATGAACCAATATAATATACACACTTACACATTTAGTTTCAAATAAATTAAAAACAATTATTTTACATTCAAAATATTAATGATTTGTATCAGAATAACTTTGAACTTGATAATTCTTATTACATTTGTTTCAACAATTATATGCAAATCAATGTATGGAAATGAATTTTAAAATGTCAAGCAGTGCTAATACTTGTCAAGTACTCATCGATTAATTTTTAGTAAAGTTTGTCAAGATGTATTTATTTCACAACAAAGAAATATATTTGATTAAACTGAAATATTTTTATTAACTGTGTAAAACTCATAAACTAATATCTAAATTGTTAAGTAAATTATGTCAAGTAAAGTTCATTTATTAATCGTCAAATCTATGACTTGTATGTAAATATAAATAGTTTGTTAAGTTGTACATGATACTTGACAAGTTACTTGATTACTTTTATTGAGATCAAAACTATTGATTAATTGTATCACAGTCAAGAAATGTATTTGATTAAAATGTAATATTTTGTGTTTTAAAAAATATTCATATAAATGAAAATTATGTATATTTGTCATATACTTGTCAATTATCAAGTAAATTTGGATGCAGACTGTAGAAACAATTAATTAAAACCATTTTTGTTAAGTAAAGTACATTTATATAAAACTTGATTGTCTATAATAAATACAACTAGTATGTGAAGTTATATTTATATACAAGTACATGATACTTGACAAGTTACTTGATTACTTTTATTAAGATCAAAACCATTGATTACTTGTACACAGTAAAGAAATGTATTTGATTAAAATGTAATATTTTGTGTTTTCAAAAATATTCATATAAATGAAAATTATGTATATTTGTCATATACTTGTCAATTATCAAGTAAATTTGGGTGCAGACTGTAGAAACAATTAATTAACAACATTTTTGTTAAGTAAAGTACATTTATATAAGACTTGATTGTCTATAATAAATACAACTAGTATGTGAAGTTATATTTATATACAAGTACATGATACTTGATTACTTTTATTGAGATCAAAACCATTGATTACTTGTATCACAGTCAATAAATATATTTGATTAAAATGTAATATTTTTTGTTTAAAAATATTCATATTCGAGTAAAGTGAATTTATTTATATTTTATGATTTGTTTCTTTAAAGTAAATATAAATAGTTTGCCATGTTGTATTTACATGCAAGTGCACATTAAATGAAAATATTATAATTATCAACGTATTCATATAAATTTATATAAATGGATAGCCAACTTGTCAATTTCAAACAATGATAATATACAATGATACTTGTCAAAGTACATGTACTCATAGTCAAATCTATTTAGAATATATATAAATAGTTTGTCAAGTTGTTTATACTTAGATCATATTCGTTCTTGACAACATCAAAACTTCAATATTGATATTAACAACGTATTCGTGTCATTGGTATCTATTATCTAGAATCTAGATCAGATCGGTAAATGCATTTGATTACGTATCCAAATACTCACAATACACGTAGTATATTGATCCAATTTGTGACAGAATTTCAAGGCTGTATTTGTGTATAGTAATGAACAATATCGATTCATCTTCGAAGTTTCCATTAACAAAAATTAATTAACTATATGTGCTGAGAAATTGGGCAATTTATACATATATTTTTTTAGCATTGCAAAGTTGAGAAAAGTTTTACGAATTCATGACCCAAGGGAATGAACGAGCAAGAGCTCCCCCGAGGCCAACTAATATAGATGGTTGGGAATCAAGAATTTACAACATCCTTAACACTGATGCATTTTTAAGGAACCACTTCAGAAATAATAGCTATTTATAGTATAGCAACAAAATTACAATTAATTGTATGAAATCGCTTTGAATTTATTACTTCCTAAATAATAAACGTTGCATAAAGTTAACTTTAAAAGAAGTAAATAAATCTGCACAGCTTATAAATCAATTTGATTTTAAGTGGGGAACACTGTTACACTTTCATCCCTTCAACAATAAGAACAAAAAAAAATACAGAAGAGATATGTATCTGCATAATACCTGCACTACAAATGGCAGAAACCAACATAGCAAATGTGAAAGAAGTAAAAAAAGAGAAAAGAAGTATAAGTTAAACACGACCGAATAAAAATGCAGAAGGAAAACAGTGTATGTGTACGCTCCAGTTTTCCGACGAAGTTACAACGGGGAAATAAAAGTTTTTCTCGGCGCGAGTTTATTTTGCATCCGCTCACACAATTTAAATGGGATCCTTGAAATGGAAACTCGACTCACCAATCGTCCCGAGGATCCGGAAGACTTCGGTGCACGCTAATCATATCGCTGGCGTATTGATTGAACGCGTTCTTCAGCCATCCGTCGTCAACCATCTTCTTAACATCAGCTGAAAAAATACAGAAATTGTCAATGGTAAATACTCAGTTATTTGACTTGAGCAGTTGAAGGAATGAGAAATATTTGTTTTAGTTGGAAAGTTAAAGTAAAGCAATCGTTAAGAAAATATTGAGAGTATGAAGAAACAAGGATAATTAGAGTGACAACTGTAGGTATTTTATGTTGAAGTTAAGCAACTCGCGTTGCTCAAAAGGTGACTGGTAACTTAATATCAATACAAATATAAAAATCACTAAAAGCATTGACATATGATAAATACAATAGATTACTTACACATTACTCTAGTATTTTTGTTATTTATCAAAAAATATAACAATTTCCAATGAAATTACGAGAAAATGCGCATAAATATACAAATTGGACCAATATTTTAAACGGTGTGATGCATTGTATGAACTGACTCCTCTAGTGACTACGTATTTTTGTCGCTAGCGTATATATTCGTCATTATGTTTATATTTTCCTTGTTTTTACATCGTAATGTGCAGATGTAATCATTAAGAACAACTAGTAAATTACATATGCAAATATATTTGTCATAGAATAGACCATGACGAATATATACGTCATAGCTATTTAAGGGATTAAAATAAATTATAATTTTCTAATTTAATGAATAATTGGTTCAAAATAGACATGAAATAAAAGATAACGATACAATATAAGGAAACTTAACGGATATTTTTAAGGAAGAAAATGAGGCAAATGTTAAAAAAGAATATTGGAAATATTCGATTAATTCAATGAAAACTAAGAGGTTCGAGAAGAAAGGAAGCTTGAAAAAGCAATATAGGTTACGATCTGATGGAAATGAAGAAAAACATGTGGAAACAAAAAGGTTGCTTATGTGCTTAGGAGAAGAGCAAATAACCGCTTTATGAAGAGGGATGCAAAGCAAACATTGTTAAATGAAAATTGGAAAACGGAAGTGGAAGTTCCAATACATAAAGTGTATGTTTTAATTTAAAATAATTGAAAAATATACAAAATTTAAAATATTACTTTTTTTCTTTGAACTTATGATATAATAATTAATAAAATAATGAATAAATGAAAACTGGAAAACGTGGCAGTTTCAGTACATATTTTTCATTGATTAATTTTTTCATTTAAAATAATTGAAAACTATTCATGCATATTTAAATTATTTGTAATTTTTCAGCTGAATTAGTTTTGAATTTTCTATAATTAATTATATAATAAATAAAACTAAATGAAAGGATAATTTTTAAATATTGACATTTTATGTTTTAGTCTCTATTTGCAATAAAAACTTATCAGATAAAATATATTATAAAATTGTTATCAGGTAAAAAAATATGATAATCCTTATCAGTTGTAATAGGCAACCAAATGATCATCAAATGCAATGTTTTAGTTTTCACAATATTCTTTTCAATTAATTGAATACTTTTGAAGGTTTACGTCTATCATATTATGTTAGTAATGAACTAATTTTGAAGATAATACCAATTCATATTGATGATTTCCAATTTGTTCTTATTATTGTTAAATGTAAAATTATTGAATTGATTGTAAATGAGAATGAGAAAAAAAAATAATTTAATGATTTTCTTTCATGTAATGCGTTCATTGTTATTGGAGGTAAGCAAATTATGATGAAATGCTTTATCCGCGCATAAGATGAATGGTGGCTGATCATCCCTTTGATATTCAATTGGCTCTTGGAGAAAGTGGAATTTGATTTGGATCGCGTTGAGAGGAGCGAAGCGAAGGCCTTTATTTTCACACTACTCGTCATCAGGCAAAAAAAAAGAAGGAGAAAGAGAGAGAAAAAAAATATAAGTATAAGAGATCGTAGGGGGTTGAGGATGGTCGAGAGCAATCGTTCGCGCGGAATAGAACGTAGGGGAATTCCCGTGGGTTCGCCAACTACTACATATCGGAGTTGGCGAGGAGCGTGCTAGGGTGTGAGAGAGACAGGGAGTTGAATAGATATAGAGAAAGGGAGAGAAGTGTAAGAGGGATGCGTCCCGAGAGTTTCCCGAGCAATTTCCCATCCGGCATTATCATCCATCCATCCATCCCCTGACCCGCTGATGGGGATAAATATAGACGCAGAGATAACTAAATAAACCCTCAAAAGCTCATTGCACACAAAGCCGAAACTGCACACACGTGCACACAAAGGACACTCTTTTACCTGTCAAATTGGTGGGCAGCACGACGGGCTTTCCCATCTCCCCAGCCCCAGATACGCTCTGCGGCGGCATCAGGACTCCACCACCAGTGTCCTCCTTCACAGCCTGCTGCTCCTTGAAGGGCACGACCCTTTCCGGTTGCTGCTCGTTACCCGCATCCTCCTGCCTCTGTTGCACCAGCTGCTGCTGTTCTGGATGCACCACTATAGGCGCCTCGCCCTGGTTCTCCGAATACAGCAGGAATGCGATCGTGAACCAAGCAGTCGAAATGATGATCACCAGTTTGATCAGGAAGGAACGCCGCCTCGTTAACACACCCATCCTCACTGATTTCAAACACCCACTGTACGCGGTTTCCTTCTCTTGTATTTATTATTATTATTAATATTATCACTTTCTATTCGCCACCTCTTATCATATTTCAAATATTAATCGTCTTATCACAGATAACGTCAACTGTTCATGATAATGCTTTGGATCCTGCCTTTTTTTATACAGTTTCTTTTTAAATATTATCGGACGATTCCTTCGAGTCCCTTCAAGCACTTCCTCGCATCGATCATCGAAACTCCAATCGGTCAGCTCCACTATCTTCTATCATCCCACATCATTCCTGCAACAAAACACAACCTTAATTTTCGACTGTCAATGTCACAATTACTACGTTCATTGAGATTCATTAACGAAACAATTTAAACAAAACAAATTTCACAGGTAAATACACAATTGCTTTTATATCCTTTTGATTTAAAATTTATCCGCATTTATCCTCCAGTACTAGTAATCTCTAGTCCTTAAAGGTTTAATATCTATTTCATACAGAATGTGTTAACACCTTTGAACCTCGTTCACCATTAAAAAAAAACAACAGCTTCAGTTTTCAAATAAATTTCATGAATATAATTTTCAAATTAAATTGCAATTTTGTTATATAAAATGTGGTTAATTGAGATTTGACCATTTTTGATATTTAAATAATAAAATTGTAAGTGAATGTGTGATGTTGAAACAGTGGAGAGCATAACAATTACATCGAGCAAAATCTAGATAGTCGTCGCGTTGAATAGTCGATATCAAAGAGGATTCCCGTTCAATTTGTGACCAGTTGTTTCCGCAAATTAACACGAATCAATATTTCATAGTGGCCTAACCGCACTTTCATTACTATCGTCACTAATATAACTTCATAAATAGTTCATATATAACCTAATGCAACCAAACTTTCCATACACATTTCAATATAATAATATAATATAATAGTAATACATTTATTGCATTAATTATACAAAAAAAAGGAAATTAAATTAGAATAAATATCTATAAATTATTCCAATTATTGAAAACCATTTTATATACCAGGGTTTCCCAAACTTTTCATGCAATGGAAAATGGAAACTCTAGTACATATACCAGTAATAGTACAAAACGTTTTAAAAATGATTTTCAATAAAGAAATGCTTTCATGGTGGTATATCCATTTTTTTTATTGTGATTTATGTGGTACAGAATTTAATAAGATTGAGAATCACTGGTATATGACATATGTCTTTCTGCACATCATATTTCATTCATAGAGAATTACTAGTTCACTTAGTACACGTGATAGAAGTCATAGAACTTAATACCAGAAATAAATTAAAAACGATTACAATTTTTTTTATAGTCCATCAAATTAATGAATTACGTTTGTTAATCATTAGATATAAAATCAAAAAAAGTCAACTGATTCAAAGTAGTTAGGTTGACTGTAGGTCTTTCTGCCTCATTAGATATATAATCAGTAATTAGACTGAAGCTGTTTATTAATATGCAATTATTTCTTTCAATAAATAAATGTTTTTATTAACTCATTTATTTGCATTAGTTTTTTTTTCAAGAATGTTAAATATTTTGATAGATTTTTTATTATTGATATTAATACGTGATAACGTCACATTTCACAAGTATTAACATTAACACATTTGCTTATGAAAGTAGAAATTTCTTGTATAATGCAAAAATACAAGTGTATTAATTACTTTCATACATATTTCAGGATATTCGACACTTTTAATTAGTAAATATTGCATAATATGTCTAGGCATAAGTATGTCACAAAAAGAATGGTTTAATTTGTAGATAAAACATTGATAAGAATTTTCAATGTTATTTTTTTATTATTTTTGAAATAAACTGGTGATATTGATGCGTCATTATATAAGATACAATTAATCAATTGATAATATAAATCTAACAAAAGTTAGCTAAGTTGGCATTAATTTATTTGTTTCTAAAAGAAACAAAAGTTGTTTCTCAATTTGTTAAAGTCTGACGGTATTTCATGTCAAATTTCAAGAAGATCGGTAATAATGGATAGGAGAAATTGCAAGATAAGTGATGTAAGGTTGGTAGAAATTCCACCACCAACACAGCAATTTTTTTTTTGCCATTCTCTATGGATTTCGACGTCAACTCAAGCCTATACAAATTTTCCAGGAATGCCAATATGCATATGGAGTAAATGCATCATCCCTTGTGACTATTCCAAAGTCGTTCCAAAGATTTCAGACCGGATATTTTTCTGTGGAGGACGAATCTCGTCGATATCTTCGACCGATGATACAAATAAAGCCTTGGTGAAGGCAAAAATTGACGAAGATCCAAAAGTGACACTGGAAATGGTAGTTGATGAATTGGGCTTGAATTCCATGGCTTTGTCGCAAATATGAAATCATCACTTTGGCTGAACGAAGAAATCCGCTCAATGGGATTTTTAAATGCCGACCAAATAAAGGCATGTGTTCGTATGGCCGAATATTACTTGGAAAATTTTGAAAATTGGAGATTCTAGCACTTTTAGTAAAATTGTAACAGGTGATGAATTCTATAGGTTTGATCTGGAAACTAAGCAGCAGCGTGTGGAGCTCAAATCCCAACAGTTAAAGCAAGACAACAAAAATCAGCAATAAAAGTTATGATGGTAAAGTACCAGGGTAAATGTGGTACCTGCTATCTCACTCGAAACTTACAAGTTTTCAAAAATTTGTTGCGAAACCAGAAAAAAAGGAGAACTTTGTCACCCAGAACCTTATTCTACCGATATTTGGCTGTTTCGGAAAATTAAAAAAAAATAATTAAAGAGTCTTTAGATCCAATGAAGAGATCATTAATTAAAAGTTGAAAAGCTCCAAAAGGCTTAAGAAAAGTAATGAAATAAGTGAAAATTATGTAGAGAAATTACAAAAGGATGGAAATTAAAAATAATAAAATAAAATTGTTTTTATTTTGTTTTTTTCCAGCCAACTTAGCGAACTTTTGTTAGACCCCTCCTTGTATTTCCTAAATTTGTAATATGTTCAAAATAAATAAAATTCGTCATTTTGTAATAGATATAATTAATCAAATGTTCCACAGGGTTGGCCAAAAGTCACACCTGCGTGTAAAAATTGAACAACTCTTTAGTTTATTATTATTTTTTATTGTTATTTTCAGATTTCATTCATCGAACCTTGTTACATCAACCTGCTAGATTACACGAACGAGCAACGGACCAACGTGGTAGAATTTTACTTTTCCAATGGGAATTAAATTTTACTGACGCAACAAGCATATCAAAATTATTTCAACACCAGAGATACACCTAGCCAAACCGCAATTAGTCGTTTAATTGTACGGTTCCGACAACAAGGTTCAGTGTCAAACTTGCTACGGACAGGAAGAACGAGAATAGTGCAGAACCAGGTGAACATTGATCGTGTATGGGACAGTGTTAAAGAACTTCCAGAAACATCGACGCGAAGATGTTCTGGACAACTGGGTATGTCTAGAACATCACTTCGGCAGAAAATAACGAGTTTCTTAACCATTTAATTATGCGTGATGAAACTCATTTCCATCTTAATGGATATGTGAATAAGCAAAATATGCGATTTTGGAGTACTTCAAACCCCAGAGTTGTTCACCAGCGCCAATTGCACTCGCTTATAGGGTTATAGAGCCCACTTCTTTGAGAATGAAGTTGGTAATGCAATGACAGTGAATGTTGGTGTAACAAGGTTCGATTAAAGCAGAGGTTTCCAAACTTGATGTTACTACGCCTCCCTCAAAAGTATGTAATCATTTGGCGCCTCCACACCCACTCCATTTCATAAAAGGAACGCGTATTACAGCAATATCGCTAAGATTCCCCAAACATTCAGCTTTCATATGCATACATTGGATTAATTCTACCTATTACAGTTTTCGAGTAAATCAATGAAATGTGAAAACACTGTTTTTTCGGATGTTCTAATTTCAATTTTTTCAACTTTGAACGCGTATTACAGCAATAAGGTAAAGAGCACAGGAATGTATCTATACTTTAGCAGATATTTGGAAAATTGCTCACTGCTACTAATATTCGCGCCTCCCCTTAGACCAGTCCACGCCTCCCCAGAGAGGCGCGCCTCACAGTTTGGAAAACGCTGGATTAAAGAGTTATTCAATTTTTACACGCAGACATGACTTTTGACCCACCTTGTATATAGAAGTATTGAATTAAAGTATAAATATTTGTAAAATGTAAATAAATAATATTTTGTTTCAATTAAATAAAAACAATACGAAACATAAAAAACAATATATTTCATAAATTTATCATTAAACAAATATTACATTTAAATGGTATTGCGTTGCATAATCTATTTGAAATCTGATTAATAAATGAATTATAGTGCAATTTGCATTGCGTACATTTTATTTTATTTCATTTTGTTGCACGAAAAAACGGATAAATATCGCGTTGGCTTACATTTCGCGTTGTTTATTTTTTTTTGCAAAACTCAGTGTGCCAATCGGTAATGCTCTGTAAATATTTGTCGAAACATTTTTCTAGTAAAAAAAGAAAGAGAAAAGAAATAAATAAATGTATATAATTATAAACACAGTTGCAATAACGATCGTTGTGTAATCGGGTTGCAGCACTTTTTTTCTGCTTAAGCCTTAATTGGCCGGAAATTAAAGCGCATTTGAATATCGCCGCGGTTATATAACTTTTCGTTGCGTTTTATTTATATTGTTGTGAGGCTCATCCAGATCCGAAACGGAGATCTATGGGAGAGCCGACAATTAACGGATTCCAAGGAAACGAATAATAACTCGCATTGCGTCGTACGCTTTAATTTGGTAAAGGTTTTCCTTTCAATTACGTTCTCTCTATTTGGGAATCCCCTAGGTCTTCCATCCTCTGCTCTTTCCGGTTCGGCCCACCTAATTTTGTAAGATTGCTCCGACGTGTTTCACGTCAGATTTTATTATATTTATACGGTGCTCGTATTTTCCAAACAAACCCAAAAAAAAGACACGTAGAATATAAGGGAGATGGAGGAAGAACAGAAATGGAGGGCCGACGCAAACAATGATGAAGAAGTGGGGGAAAAGGAAAAAAACACAAAACTGGGTATGTGACGAATGAAACTCGGTGCGAAAATAGGGGTGAAATGTGTGTATATATATATAGTATAGAAACGTACACTTAGCCTCGGGGAGAATGTGAAATATCGCTACACATTGCCACAATGTTATAAAGACACGACGTGCACTTTTTTTTGTTGTTATTGTTGTTATGTATTATTTTATTTCATATTTTTTTTGTAT